CAGGAATTTCCAGGAGAGGCCAAAGCCCCGGTTCCAGTCCAGGCTCCTCCGCCGCTGGTAGTGTGGCCTGGCCGAGGGGCCCTGTCTTCCCCGAGGTCCAGGTCTCAGCTGCTGTTCCTCTGCCTGGTCCTGGGGCCTCCCCAGGAGAGCTCCCCAGGTGGGAAGCCTGTGCCCCAAAGGACCCCAGCTCAGGCCCTCCTGGGTCTCCTGCTCCCTCTCAAGCAGCCCACTCTCTCACAGGAGTGTGTCAGAGCTGCATCTGCAACCTGCAACCCCTGAGAATAAGGAGAATGCCCCTCCTCCTCCCATTCTGATAAGGCTCCAAGGTCAGATCTGGCCTCTCACTGACTGTCAGGGCAGGCTGCAGGCAGAGTTCAGGCCAGAGAAACATTAACCACAGCTACCTTGCCTCCCTACTCCGATTCTCCTTGTCCTCCTGGGGCTGGCTGACAGGCAGCAGGGGATGATGCCTGCAGACCGTCCTATGCAGGACCAACCCCAAGCAGTCTGGAATGGAATACCTGGGGTGGGCCCCCAGAGACAGCACACTAGGTCTCGGGGGTCTGCTCTGCCACTGGCTCCCCACCCGGATATGGCCACAGCTCCAGTATTGTGCGGCACCCTGCCTGGGCCAGGAACGGCTAGTCACTATACTATATCCAAGAAGGAGGTGAGCCTAAGATGAGGAGGACAAGGCAAGCATGAAAAAAGAAATATCTGGGGAGATGTGGAATTGCCAATGCCCAGTAACAGTGCTGACACAGAGTGTGTACTTGTGTGCCTGACAGACTCAATGAAAATACAAACGGTTAAAGGGTAGCTGATGATTTTAGCCAGAACAAAACACTCATCCCAGAACCAATAGGCCTTGAGGCTAGAGAGACTGTGTTGACCCCTGCTGTAGGCCCTAGGGTATGTATGGAGTACGACAGAAAAAGAGAGTGTATGTGTAATGGGGTTTAGGGGCAGGTTGGCTATGGTGCTGAGGAGGTCACCAGGCCAGAGGCCCCTGACATGGGGCTGCTCAATTTCTCAGCACAAGGAAAATTGTTATCAAGATCCCAAGATGGAGAAGTGCATACAGGTGAGTCAGGAGAACTGCTTCTTCTCCTCAATCACTGTGCAACTTTGGAGAGGCCATGGGTCCTCCTTTGCTTCAGTTCTCCTCCTGTAATCCCCGGGCAGAGGTGGCGCTATCTTAGCTCTGACAGATCTGTGTGGCTAGGGGTGGCTACTAGGACCTTCTTAGGAAGCAGCTCCTGAGTCTGTAGGACTTAGATCCAAGACCACTTCCTGGAAAAGCCTCTGATTCACCCCTAAGGACAGGAGATATAAACACCAAAACGTCAGAAAACCAGGGCTGGCTTACCTTTGAAAGCTTCAGTGGCGCCAGGTGCATGGTTCTTGTCTGGGTGGAATTTGAGGGCCAGCTTGCGGTAGGCTTTCTTCAGGTCCTCATCTGAGGCCCCTCTGCTCACCCCCAGGATCTCGTAGTAATCTTTACACTGCTTGACCCTGAGGGGGGAGAAGAGCGTGTCGGGGAGCTCTACATGGGCCCGTGGCACTGAGGTGGGTGAGGAATAAGTGGCATGGGCACACAGCTCTGAGTGGGCTTAGGGGAACAAGCTGTCAGACCTAGAGAACAAGGGAGCATCAGGAAGCTCCAACTGGGATGGGGATCTGAGCAGGGCCCAGTGGAAACACCAAGAATACATTTAGGACTGAAGAGGGGGCAGCTGCTCTGTTTGCCAGGCCAGGAACCACTGCCCTTTGCCAATGGCATCCTCACTGCAGGCAACCTCAGAAAGACTATCAGTCAGGGGTCTCTGCCCAAGGGCAGGTGTGGCCCAAGCTCGGCCAGCTGTCTCTTCTCCTGACAATCTGAGTCTTGAGTGGGCAACATTAAGGCCATGACAGGCATCTGTTCACCATATCTGAGGACCCTGAAGAGACCTTGCTTCTCTTGCATCAATTCTTATTTCTGAGGTCCCTGGAGACCCTGATTCTTGGCCTTTTCCAAGCTTTCCCATCTCCCCTCAATCAGTTTCTACTGTTTACAGCTGATAGACTTACCTGGTCAAAACCCTGTCTTGTCAGAAAAATGTAAACTTGTCATGTGCATTTATGGCAAACTACAGTCATGCTAGGTCACATGCAGGCTGAACCCCAGTCCTGAAGCTTACTAATGTCTTCACTAGCAGCCAAGACCATGAGGGAATGACAGTGGAGGGATCCCGAGGATAGTTTGGGGGGAAGTATGGGGAAAATGAGACCTGGGATCTCTACTCCTGAGAAGTCTTGGCTGGACCATCTCAGCCAGTATTGAGCCCAAGCCGTGGAGGGAGAACTGTCTCTTGTCTCCGCTTTACCCTACACAGGCTCTGGTCTGAAAGGGTCTTTGTTGAGGGTGTGGGTTGGGGGAAAATCTGGTGGGGCAGACCAGGCTTCATTTCTGTCTGACAAACAGAGCTGTGTAAAGAGGCCAGGCCTGCGCGGCCAGCAGCAGAGGAAGCCAGCGGTGTCAGCGTTTCCAGCCTCTGCTGTGGTCCGTCTCAGTGGGAGGAGAAAGTGGAGCCCTGATTCTCACATTATATTCCAGGGCCTGATGAGCTGACCACTGGACCTTCTTCTCCATCTTCGAGACCCTCCCAGGGCCCGTCCAGACCATAGGTAGCAGTGATGTGCCACAGGAAGCTGTCTCCAGACTTGAGAACTTCCCACCACTGCCCCGACCAGGCCCCGACCCCTGCCCGCTGGGCCCAGCCCTCTACCTTTTCACGGCTGCTACTTGTTCTGCAGTGTAGCCTTTGGTGCTCTCTCCTCCTCCAGCTTCGCCGTTGGCCGAGGGGGCGTTGGACCCACCTGCTTTCCTATGGGTTGCATGTGTCGTGTCTGTAGTTTGGGGCTGGTCACCAGCAGACTGTGGTTTCTGGTTGAGGGACTCGATCAGGCCTGTGTGAGGCAAGGAAACCATTCAAGGTTCCTGCTCCAACAAGGACACGTACCCTTATTTTCCCTGCTTATTTTCCCTGTAAAGCCACTAGCCTCTTTTCCTGACTCGAGCCCGTCGGGGGCTAGCGGGATAGTCACCTGCTCTCTTAGGATCCACAGTCCTCAGGAGTCGGTAGGGTATATATAGGTCATTTTAAACTCAGCATAAAAACAAACTATTTTTTCTTTTTTTCCGTTCCCCAAAATAAACTATTAATCCTTCAGATTTTTTAAATCTCAAAATAGTGTGTTCAACAGCCAACCTCTGTTAAGAGCTGAGATGAGCAAAGTGCTCTGCAATGGGCATTCCACTTAGCAAGACTATCTGATTCAGCTGGGATTGGTCGAGAAGGATTTCTGGAGGCCTGCACTTAGCCACGAAGAGGAATGGGGGCAATGAATTTGCCCCAGAGGGCCAGGGGTAGTGCGAGACTCAGGATAAACATCTGCTGTGTTAACTACTTGCTGTTTTTAAAAAATTTTTCAAATGGCTGGCCATGTCAAATGTCCTCCTTCAATGTTCAGAGTCTATACAGGGCATTAGCTGTCACCCTCAGGATCGTGGTTATTCATACCCAAGTCCTTGGTTCCTGCTAACTCTGTAAGGGCAGGCTCAAATCTCCGGCATTAGTCTCCTGTGCCATTTCAGGCACCAAAACAGTTCTGAACCCCCCCTAGTCTTGCCTGGGGCACAGTGCCCTGGGAAACCAGGCAGGTACCCAAGACACCTCTGTGCTGCTGAAGGACAGCAGCATAGCCCAGTGCTCCCTAGCTTCTTTCAAATGTTCCAGGTGCCTGCTGGGCTCAAGGCACTGTGCTGGGTGTCAGACACCCTGTACTGTGACATATCTGAGTCTCACCGAAGGGACCTTGAGCATGGCTTGCTCGGAACAGAACACTGGGACTCAAGTGGACCAACGTGCCCTGAGCCACTGCTGTTAGTTGCTCACGGGCTCTCACCGAGCCAGCAGCTGGGAAATCCATACACAGGAGCTAATAGCTGAGTTTGGCCCACATGAGGGAGGTGGAGAAGCTCCTGTAGCAAACCCTGAGAGGGCACTCTGAGAGGACAAACAGGGATGTGTGCTCACTATGTGTCAGGCAGGTCTGGGCACAGTGTGCTGCATGTATTAGCTCATTTAGTCTTCATGACAGCCTTAGAGGTAGGTCTTACGACCACCATCCCCATTATGAGGAGCTATGTGTTTGATCAACTTGCCCATGGCTGTACAAGCTCGGTAGGCAGCACTTGAATCCCATGATGTCCAGCTCACAGGACCTTGCTTTTAACTGTGCTGTTAGCCTGGACCACACGAGTATGGCAGGGGAAGCCACTTCCATGGTCATTCCAAGTATAGAAGAGAATTCAGAAAGACCCAGGTTTCAATCTCGGCTCAACTACGTTCTAACAGTATGACCCTAGTCAATCTGTGAAACCTATTCCTCACAATGGGGGTATGAAGATGAAATGAGACAATGTGTGTAAGCACTCAGCATGGAGACTGACATACAGTAAAAGTGCAAAATGAGTAGCTGCTATTATGACCTGGGCCAATGAACTAGCTGGAAGATGAGAGGTGAGGACTTGAGGTGGTGGGGCTGGGGAGCTTCGAGGCTTAGGAAAGCAAAGTTTCAGCACTTAGCAGGCTTTGAACCCACTTGCAACCATGATATTTTACTCTGTCCCATGTGCCAGGTCCATGCCAGGCATCAAGGGAATGGCAAAGGAGGAAACCCCAAAATGAAGAGATGCTGATCAAGATGGGACAGAGGGAGGAGCTTGGTTTGCTGAGTTTTTAAGGGCTTTTAAAAAAGTTGTTTATTTAGATTTCTGGAAGCCCCAGTGGTCCAGGCTGAGCTGACATACCCTAAGGACAACATGACCAGCCATTAGATTGCGATACACAAGAATGTCAGCCAGAAGATGGGATGGACTCTCTTCAGTACTTCTCAGGGAAGCATCTGGAAGCTTTTCAGGGCAGTTACACAGAGTCAGCCACTCTAATTTCCCTAGGCTGCAAAAAAGAAAGCTCTGGTTCAGACAGATGATTCCTGCTTGAGTTAGCAATGAGAGACTTTTGGCTGCTGACAAGTAGGTCTCTTTTGTGGCCTGGACATCCCCTCTACCAGGTCCACAGGGTGTGACTGCCTCATCCTGACTCACTGTTACATCCCTAACTGGCACAGTGGCTGATTGGCAAATGTCACAAAGGAGTAGGAGGTAGAACAACTTAATGTGGCTCTGGCTGAAGTCATTGTGGGAAAGTGTGGAATTTGTAGACAGACATGGCCGCGTTCAAATCCTGATTTGCCCCTTCCCAGTAAAGCTGGCAGACATTTAGAAAGGGAAACTGGTGGAAGAAACCAAAACTGGGGTGGGAGGGGTGGTAGCTGAGGTAGAGGTGAATGCATTTCTATAGTCAAAGCCACCAGGGGTGGCTCTCCTCAAACCCAGACTGGAGAGTCATTGCTTGGGTTCAAACCTGGCTCTGCCACTTGCTAGCAAGGTCATCTTAGATAAGTTAAGAGCTTCTCCATGAAAATGTATCTCTCTCACGAGAGTTGGAAGAGTAAAGGAGTAAATGCATATAAAGAACTTGGCCCAATGTCCAGAAAATATTGTCATCTGTTACTGTGACTTTTATTTCCAGGCTCTGTCCATGCACCTGTAGTGC